AGCTGGAGAACTGTGCCCAGTTCTGGACACCAAAGTTTAAGAAAGATGTGGACAAGTTGGAGAGAGTCCAGAAGAGAGCAATAAAAATTATAAGAGGTTTAGAAAATCTGAACTATAAGGAAAGGTTAAAAAAAACTGGGCATGTTTAGTCTTGAGAAAAGAAGATTGAGCGGGAACCTTATAGCAGTCTTCAAATATGTTAAGGGCTTTTATAAGAAGGACTGTGCGCAATTATTCTTCATGTCCACTGAAGGTAGGACAAGAATTAATGGGTTTAATCTGCAACAAGGGATATTTAGGTTAGATATTAAGAAAATCTTTCTAACTATAAGGACAGTTAAGCTATGGAATAGGGGTTTCCACAGGACACTGTGGAATCCCATCATTGGAGATTTTAAAGGACAGGATGGTCAAACACCTGTCAGGGATAGTGTAGGTGTACTTGGTCCTGCCTCAGCACAGTGGGCTGCACTTGATGACTTCTCAAGGTCCCTACCAGCCATACATTTCTATGATTGTATTATTTAGCAGCAACAAATACAGAGCATCATTAATTGAATTATGAAGGGAGCTTAGCTCTGTCTTTTTTGCCAAAAGATATCATGTTGATAAGAAGTCAGCAATATACACGAATCTAATTTTAACTATACTTAATCATGTATAAATTTATGCATATACGTCTGGAGATCATCTTTATAATGGCTTTTACAGAAAAGCAAACCTTTTTTGCTGTGAGTTCCCCCTACAGCAAACATTTCTCTAACATTCTTCTGCAGTGTTACCTGCTGGTAGGGACATCCTTATGCACAGGTGACTGAAGACTAGGCTATGAAAAAACAGAGGTACTATTTGTACCCTCCCACACACACCAAAAAAAGGAGTCAAGGTGATAATACAGAAGATTGGCAGTAGCAGGCTTCAAGGAAACTTGTCCTGGCGCAACCTCTTCGGGCAGCAGGATCTATAATATATCACTAAACTAGTTAGAAACTTAAATCACAAAGCTTAAAACTGTCTCAAAGTCTTAAAAATAAGTACATTCCGACATGTAATAGTGTCTCCTTCTCCATCTCCTCCACCCAGCAAACAAGTCTGTTGCTAGTTAAGTGAGGGTCTAGCTCAGTGTGCATTTTTCTCTCTTTTCATTACAGAAAATGACTCTGTTATAGCTAAGGCTACGATTTGGTCACGGAGGTTGCAGAAGTCATGGAATCCATGACTTCGGCAGACCTCCATGACTTCAGCACGTAGCGGCTGGGAGCTGCTGGCAACCCCCACCTCCTCTGGTGGCCGGGAGCTTTGGGATACCCCTGCCGCCTGGAATGGCGGGGTCCCCCACAGCTCCCCAGTCGCCACAGTTACGGGGGTGCCCCACAGCTCCCCAGCTCCCAGGCAGCTCCTCAGCTGGCCGTGGCAGGGGAATCCCCCACAGCTCCTCAGTCCCCATGGGTGCCGGGGACCCCCGGAGCTCCCTAATCCCTATGGACGGTGGGGGGAATCCCCCGGCAGTTCCCCAGCCACCACAGGTACGGGGGTCCCCCACAGCTCCCAGGCAGTTCCTCAGCTGGCGGCGGCAAAATCCCCCACAGCTCCCCAGTCCCCATGGATGGTGGGGACACCCATAGCTCCCTAATCCCCGCAGACAGTGGGGGGAATCCCCCCACAGCTCCCCAGACACCATGGGGGGGAATCCCCTGGCAGCTCCCCAGACACCGTGGGTGCTGTGAATCCCCGGAGACCCCCAGCTGCCATGGGGGGGGGGGGGGAGGGAGGCGGCAGCTCCCCAGCCACCAAGGCGGGGGGAGGCACAGCTCCCCAGACTCCACGGGTGCTGGGGACCCCCGGAGCTCCCCAGCCACCACGGGTGTGGGGGGAATCCCCCAGAGCTCTCCAGCCCCCAGAGGCAACCCCCACAGCTCCCAGCCACAGGCCGCAGCACCCAGTCACAGCAGGGCAGGATGCTGGACTCTCCTCCCTCCACCTATGTGTCATGGACATTTTTAGTAAAAGTCAGGGACAGGTCACGGCTTCTGTGAATTTTTGTTACTTGCCCGTGACCTGTGCATGACTTTTACTAAAAATGTCCATGACAAAAATCATAGCCTTAGTTATAGCAAAGCCAAGTTAGTTGCTCTAGTGTTCCTTATATGATCTACTGAAAAACAGTTTTGAATGGCTCATCCTTCTTCCCCGTTACTTAAGCAACATGAAGAGCATAGGTCCCCCCTTCTTTAACCCATTAAATCAAACTCCAATATCGAGTCATTACTGTCTTTTATTTCATTTAACTTGCCAATATCCAACTGCGGGCTGTTGGTCCAAGATCATAGGTACGATTTATCCCTATAGAAATTATCTAAAAATGCAACAATTCTATACAAAACTATAAATCAGCTATCCAGTTATAGGCATCTATCCAAGACCAATTGTGGGACTGTATGATAGACTGCTGGAAACCAAAAGCTGAGCCAGCACTCTGATCACTTAAACACCAATTAATTCTTCCAAACTCAAGGATGGACCTGACTGTGCCCAATTAGCAGATTAGAATGGGCTGAGGAGGACTAAAGAGCTAATTAGCCCATTACCACAAAGGATAGAAGGTGGTACTGGAAGGAAGTGCTGAAGAGAGAGGCAAGCTAATTGAGCCAGAACCAAGAAGGATCTCTCAGTGAACAGCTTTATTCCCTCTCCTGGGCAGAGGGCTGAGGAGAAACCTGATGCTGTAAATGAGGTGGTGAATGGACCAACAAGGTCATTGGAAAAACCATGTACATAAACTACCCGGTAGTATTTAACAATGGAAGGTGTCCGAATAGTCTGTGTAGACAGAGCAGAAGACAGGGGCAGGGTCTCACTCTGTCACAAACAATCTTACTCCAAGTTTATAAGCCACAGAACAGGCACAGTTGTCTATCATTACTTATTAAAATTTTCTCTTAATGCAAGAAAATCACAGACTCAAGTGACATTTTTAAAGTTAATAAGTTTGGTCAGCATTATTATTACTAAAGGCCACATTTTTAAGCAGAGCCAAGTCCTTGGAAGATCCTTGATCTTTTGCACTGGAAACCAAGAACCAAGTGCAGTCAGACACTACTATTTATAAGTCAAAAACATGGCAACTTGCCATTTGAACTGGCTACTTGTTCCATTACTTCAACAAGCACTTCTCATATTCAAATCTCGCACTAAGCTAGACAAATTCAGATTCACAAAAACAATAAAGACCTTCAATATCCACCTAGATACTGTTGAGAAAAGTCAGTTATGGTGATCTAGTGTTGGAGTGATTGCATGAGTTTGTTCAAAATAGTGATGGTTTTTATGAAAATTTTCTTTTAAATCTAGTTTTAAGTAAAATTTAGTTAAAGATTTTGGTTCTTAAAGCATATTTTATCATTGTGTACGTTTCACATATGTTTCATGCATCAAAGAGTACTTTTAACTATTTTAACATTTAACTATTTTAGTTATTTCTATCTTCAGCAGACAAATAAACATCAGTCAATAAATTTACTGAGAAGCTGTGGGAAGTTTTCTTGTCTGGAGTCTCTTACTACTCTCTAATTGTCTCAATATTAGAGAAACATTCCAAGCAAATTAGACTAATTAAAGGACTTTGATTACTGGAGGCTTTTCTCTGTCCTCTTAGATTTTGATAAGTTAAGACCATAAGTTACTGGGGTAGGCAATGGTCCATCTAGCCCAATATTCTGTCTTCCAGCAGTGGCCAGTATTGGACCATCAGCAAGTTCGTGGACGATAGTAAGCTGGGGGAAGAGGTAGATATGCAGGGTAGTGATAGGGTCCAGAGTGACCTAGACAAATTGGAGGATTGGGCCAAAAGAAATCTGATGAGGTTCAAAAAGGACAAATGCAGAGTCTCAGGACGGAAGAATCCCATGCACTGCTACGTGGCAGTTCTGCAGAAAAGGACCTGGGGATTACAGTGGATGAGAAGTTGGATATGAGTCAACAGTGTGCTCTGGTTGCCAAGAAGGCTAACGGCATATTGGGCTGCATTAGTAGTAGCATTGCCAGCAGATCGAGGGAAGTGATTATTCCCCTCTATTTGGCACTGGTGAGGCCACATCTGGAATACTGCGTCCAGTTTTGGGCCCCCCACTACAGAAAGGATGTAGACACATTGGAGAGAGTCCAGCGGAGGGCAACAAAAATGATTAGGGGTCTGGGACACATGATTTATGAGGAGAGGCTGAGGGAACTGAGCTTATTTAGTCTGCAGAAAAGAAGAGTGAAGGGGGATTTGATAGCAGCCTTCAACTACCTGAAGGTATGTTCCAAAGAGGATGGAGCTAGGCTGTTCTCAGTGATGTCAGAACAAGGAGCAATGGTCTCAAGTTGCAGTGGGGGAGGTCTAGGTTGGATATTAGGAAAAGCTATTTCACTAGGAGGGTGGTGAAGCACTGGAATGGGTTACCTAGGGAGGCGGTGGAATCACCATCCTTAGAGGTTTTTAAGGCCCGGCTTGACAAAGCCCTGGCTGGGATGATTTAATTGGGGTTGGTCCTGCTTTGAGCAGGGGGTTAAACTAGATGACCTCCTGAGGTCTCTTCCAATACTAATCTTCTATGATTTTATGAAAAGCCTTCCCTCTATCAACTCTGAAATCCACCTCTATGCCAATCCCCCTCCCCCATCTGGCAGCTTTTGCGTTAGAGATATGGTGCACCATTTGAGAGCAACCCTGGGGCTCCTCTAACAATGCCAGAGGTTTGGAAGTTCTCCACTAGAGAGTGAAAACAGATGCTTTAAAGGTGACTTAAAGCTATCTTTGCAGACCCGAACTCTGTTCTTGTGCTAAGCATAGCTCAGCCAGAATGGAGCTTTTAATCTGCTTGTCAAATTTGTACGTACCTTCCTTTTTAATGTGTTAAAGAAACTATTGCTTTATCAGATCCATAGATGCTCATTTGGAAGGCTCAATGTCTACTTTTCCAAGATAGTACTGTACTATAAAGAAAAATATCTCTTACCTGTGCAGCCGCTCCATCTCTAACTGATGTTCTTTAAGTTTTTGTTGATATTGGTACTGCAGAGCCTCTTGTTTCTGGGTTTCCTTGAGAAGTGTTTGTTGCAGCTTATCCAGCTGTATCCTAAGATCGCTAACTTCTGCCTGTTTAGCATTTTCAGCCATTTTCAAATGAGTAAACATGGCATCATAGCGCTCCAGTTCTCTGTCTCTCTCTTCCAGAATTTTCAGATTATAGGTGAAATCTTCTTTTAACCTATTGAATTTTTTATGCATTTCTTGGAGCTGCTTTCTGGTATCCTGCAATGTTGTCTTCTGAAAACAGAGATGGCGAGCTTGTAGCTCTTTCCATTCTTGTTCTTTCCTCACAAGAAGTTCATTTAGTTCTTTCTCCATTTGTAACATTGTTGAGCCTAAGATAGAAGAAAGTTACTGATTGGAGCCTGATGACTGAAAAATGTCTCCTCTCCAACCATTCACTTCTCCACACTCCATCTGTTGTACTGCATAATTAGTTAGATGTTTTATGGACTTAAAGTGGACTTTAACTTTTTCTGAAATGGGTCATGGCTAAGAGCAGGAAGCTATTTATCTTACATGACACCCCCCCCCCCCCCATAACCTTTTCAATGTATTTATCCTCATAACACCTCAGTGAGATATGTAAGTACGATTATCCCCAATTAAGCAGATGGAAAATTGAGGCACAGGAGACTCAGAGACTTGCCCAATGGCACACAGGAAGTCTGTAATGAAGCAGGAAATTTAACTGAGGAGTGCTGAATCCCAGGATAGCACTCAAACCACTTGACCATTCTTCATGTCTGTGTTCCACTTCATCCCTTCACCAATCTATTCTTTTCCTCCATTTTCTGTATGGTAACTGGGATTTCAAAAGCCCATTGGGATGAGAATAGTCCACAAGATACCAAAATCACTGGTTATAAACTTAGGGGGAAGTTTTAAATTTAAATTTTAGTTTTAAATTTAAACTCAGATTATGAGTGTCCAGCATTTTCCCACAAATTCTGTTAAAATTCCTGTGAAGGACAATTATGCAGGTGAGGGCCATGTCGCACAGGTGTTATACCCCTATTCAGAGGTTCTTTTAGCAATGCCACACATCCGATCTTATCCATTTTTGCTTTTAAATTTCTTGGCCATGTCTACAATATGAAAAAAAGGTGTATTTTTAACATGAGTTAACTAATGTGTTAAATTCCTACGGTGTGTCTGTAACAACCTGGCCCAGTCTCCTTCTGAATGGACACAACTGTTTTGAGTAGACCCAACTGCTCAATCCCACGTTCTCCTAAACCACCGGGTCTAGACAGAACCTACTCACAATTCCTAGCTCTGGGTCTGTAAGGCATACTTCCAGGCCCAGACCCATTGTCTGACCCCTTCTTTGGGATATGGGACTCCACTGTTTGGTGGCCTCCAGGCTCCGGAACCAGTGCCTCTGCCCTCCTAAGCCCCCCACATGATACCTCAGAGTTCCATGGTGGTTCTGAACACTTTAGGCTTCTAGTTTAACTGCTTCAGGCCCAACGTGGTATGAAGGCAAAGAACACAAACTTAGCAAAGGAATTTCTTATCCAGTCACTCTACTCTTAAAAAGCACTAGAGAGTTACAGTGACTCTCTAGTTTGATTTCTCTCCTCCTGCAAATCTGAGATCTAGTCAGTATTTCAGTCTATGCAGAGTCCCTCTCTTCTGCCTTCCTTTTCTCTCTCCAGCCTGGTCTTCTGTCATGTGTTAGTGAATGATCTCCACTTCTCTAAGAGTACCCCCTCTTATATACAATCTCACTCATTCTAGCCATGTGCCCAGACTGAGGCTTGGTCTACACCTAAAACTTAGGTCAATCTAGCTGTGTGGCTCAGTGGTGTCAAAAATTCAGATGCAAGCGACATAGTTAACCCAACCTATGCCACAGTATAGACACCATTAGGTTGATGAAAGAATTCTTCCATCAACTTAGCTACCATCTCTAGAGGGGGTAAGATTTTCCACAGCAATGGAAAAACCCTTTCCAACACTGTAGAAAGCATCTACACTACAGTGTTACAGCAGCCTGGCTTCAGCACTGCCATGTGGTGCTTGTTGTGTAGACACAGCTTGAGAAACTCTAGCCCCTTTCCCCCATGCAGGCTTTTGTATAGACAGTTCACTGTGCCATTGGGTTAGGCAGAGCCAGCAGTTGAGAGACAATCCAAGTTGATGGACCTAGATTGTTCTATGATGGATCCTAAATTATAGACAGCACCCCTGCAGCTCCCATTGGAGCACCGGAGGGGGCCATGCCGCGGCTTCTGGGAGCCACGTGATGCGCCCCCCAACCCTGCACCCCGGCTGGAGCGCCGGAGCGGGGCCATGCCGCAGCTTCCGGGAGCTGCGTGGTGTGGCCTCCGACCCTGCGCCCCGACTGGAGCTCCGGAGCAGAGCAAGCTCCAGACCCCACTCCCCAGCAGGAGCTCATGGGCCACCTTAAAACAGCTTGTAAGCCGGACCCGGCCCGCGGGCCATAGTTTGCCCACCCCTGTTCTAGGTGTTTGCAAACTGATTGCTTAATTATTTGCTTCATTATCTTTCCAGGTACTGAAGTTAAAATGACTGGTCTGTAATTCCCCAGGTTGTCCTTACTTCCCTTTTTATAGATGGCCAAATATAATGCCATTTTTCAGTCCTCTGGAATCTCTCCCGTCTGCCATGACTTTTCAATCTAATCACTAATGCAGGGGTGGGCAAACTACGGCCTGCGGGCCGGATCCGGCCCCTCAGGGCTTTGGATTCCAGCCTGCGGCGCCACTGGCACCACATCCCTGCAGCCCCCGGGTGGGGGGCAGAGGGCTCCATGCGTTGCCCTTGCCTCCAAGCACCGCCCCCCACAGCTCCCATTGGCCGGGAACGGGGAACCGCGGCCAATGGGAGCTTCGGGGGAGGTACCTGGAGGCATGGCAAGGGCAGTGCACGCAGAGCCCTCCGCCCCTCCTCCCCCAGGGGCCGCAGCGCTTCCTTGAGCGGCACGGGGCCGGGGCCAGGGCCAGGGCCAGGGCCAGGGCAGGCAGGGAGCCTGCTGGTCCCAGTGCGCGCTGTTGCCACCCCGGAGCCGCTTGAGGTAAGCAGGGCTGGAGCCCGAACCCCTCCTGTACCCCGCTCCACAACTCCCTGCCCTAAGCTCCCTACCTGCCCCCCAACCCCCTGCCCTGAGCTCCCTGCTGCACCCTGCACCCCTCCTGCACTGCAACCCCCTGCATACTATTTCCCCATCCAGTTGTGGCCCTCGGCCCAAAAAGTTTGCCCACCCCTGCACTAATGGCTCAGATACTTCCTCAGTCAGCTCCTTGAGTATTCTAGGATGTATTTCATCAGGCCCTGGTGACTTGAAGACATCTAACTTGTCTAAGCAATTTTTAACTTGTTCTTTCCCTATTTTAGCCTCATTTTCACTGGCATTCACTATGTTAGACATCCAATCACTACTAACCTTTTTGTTTCAGTTTTCACTAAAAAAAGTCATAATGGTCATAATTATGCAGCATAATAGACTGACCTTGTCAAGATCAGGCTGTTGTTTTTGACACAGAATACAAAATGGCAGTTAGCACATAAAGACAGGATGCACAATGGAGGTCACAGAACAAAATTAAGTTCATAATTTGATAGACATACACTATTACAGTCTTTGCACTATCCTTTTTTCCCTTCAAGCTAACTGATTGCCATCTAAATGTGTAAAGGCTAGTATGGGCACTCACTATACTTTGTTCCAGGGTACAAACATTTGTTCTTTATCCTAGGACAGTGGTTTTCAAACTAGGGTACACAAACTCTTGTCAGGGGGCATGTGAGAAAAATCCTGTACTGGCGGACCACACATTTTATTTAATACAGAACTTTTCAAACTGTGGAGCACGTACCCCTAATGGGGGCGCAGAGGACTGTTTGCGGGGTAGGGGGGGGAAGAGAGGCAGCTAGGCCAGCCCCACACAGCGGGGCTTAGGAAGGGAGCACCACTCCACCCCCGACTCACCTCAGCGGGCCACCCACGCTGTCTGGGTTGGGGGGAGGGACGCAATGAGCTAAGCCCCCCCCCCTTGGAGTTACATTTTTAGTTGTGCTCCCCCAAATACAGACAGGCTGGGTGGCCCACTGAGTTGAGTCAGGCGATGGAGGTGGCGTTCCCTCCCTGAGCCACCTGGCATTGCTGCTCGCCCCCCCCTGTACATTCCTCTGTGCCCCCCTAGAGGGGGGGTGCGCCCCATAGTTTGAAAACTTCTACAAGCTGCTGCTAAATAGAAGGCAGAAAACTTGGGGGGCACATGACCCCATGTGCCTCCCCACGCATTGCCTCTGCCTATTTCAGATGGGAGTATAGGGTACACTACATTATTTGGAAAGGGGTACGCAGCCTAAAAAGTTTGAAAACCACTGCCCTAGGATGATCTTTAAGGTAAAAAATAAATAATTATTTCCTTATCAAATGCATAGGGAATGTTCACATTAGCCTTTGCAAACATGTAACGTACCTTGATTTAATTGGCAATTTATTAACTTGGGGGGAGAGTAAAAAGTACAGTGGAAAAAGACAAGGCAGTTGTAGTTGACCATCTAACACATGTTAGAACTATAATTTATGTCCACATTAGAACTGAAACATATGTTAAAAATATACCTTTTTTTCTAGTGAAGATAAGGCCCTTGCATTGATGTATAGAGGCAACAGTGTTTTCTATATGTAACGGTGTCCATTTTAAGATTTTTTTTAATTAACCTGTTACTTAATGGGACTGAGACAAGGTGGGTGAAATAATTTCTTTTATTGGACCAACTTCTGTTGGTGGAAGACACAGAGACAAGCTTTTGAGTAACACAGAGCTCTTCTTCTTCTTCATTGGACTGTTCTTCCTTATCCATCCCCCATAAAGCTTCAATTATAGTTTATATTCCTAATACTTTTGGTCTTTGTGGCAGCTTTCACTGTCTGACCTAGGGACTCATCAGCACCTGCTCAGTAATGACAATTTTCAGGAAGATGCTAGCTGTTTATGTAGAAGGCTGAACAAAACTCTCTAATGTTTTCTGTTCTCTCATTACCTCTGGGAAATCTAATCTGCAAACACAAATTCAACTACCATTTCTATGCTGACAACTCACAGATATACCTCTCTAACCCAGACCAGTCTCCTGGAAGAGTTGGTGTTGGTCCTGCTTTGAGCAGAGGATTGGACTAGATGACCTCCTGAGGTCCCTTTCAACCCTGATATTCTATGAAAGCACTTCTGACCATAAGACTCTTGGGCAGGGACCATTTTTGTTTCTGTTTTTGTACAGCACCAAGCACAAAGGGATCCTGGTCTATAACCAGGGCCGCTATACACTATGGTAATACAAATAATAAAAGTAACATAAAATCCTTTACTTTTGCTCTCACCACTACCACCAGAAAGGAAATGATACATTTTCCATTAGAGACTCCAATTTTTAGGGCTATAAAATCCACTCCAGGCCTGAACAGTTGTGACTCACCCATGTATTTTGCTCCTCTTAAAGAAAATAACTTTACTCACCACACTCCAAAATGGTCTCTTATTTCATTGCCTCCCTGACCTCTCCATTCTGCTGATGGTGCTAGTCTCTATGCCCTATTTGTCCACTTCCCCCCACCCCAATCATCTGGGTACCTTTTTCCACATCATTCCCTTCCAATTCTACTCTGCCAAGCCACTATCCTCTCTTCCCTTGAAATTCCATTCTCAATACTCAGAAGATGAGTCAAATAATTACAATATTTTAAAATTATCTTTAAATCTACCTCTCAAGATGTGCACAAGCCTAAATTGAGTAATCTTGTAGTCTTATTGCTGTAATCCTTGTCCATTCTCACCCTCTTCCTACTGTTTGTTATCCTCAATCATTTACATCATATCTAGTATATTATAAATTCTTCAGGACAGGGACCATGACTTTCAATTTATTCTGTACAGTGCCATTCACACTTCTGGGTGCTGTAAAAATAATATATGATAGTCTCTGCTCAGCCCCTTTTCCTAAATCTCTGGAGTCAGTACAGATGCTCTCACAGCACAGTATTATTCTGTATCAGTTATTACAGATAATCCTGCCTGTATAAGCATGGGGATACAGAGAACAATAAATCAGACTGGCAGGTCTTTCCAATGGTGGCTCTTTAATCTCTTAAAATGCAAAATAGATTTTCAGATCAGCAAACCTGATACAATATCCCTGCTCCAAAAGGATGCCACATTTTAAACATGATTTCTTTCCCCATAGACCTAACAAATCTCATTCTTCAGGGTTTAAAATTTAGTCTGTGAGGGTCAGGATGGAAAATGATAAGCAGCATAGTATTCTGAGGAAGCTTTGTTTTTCTCTGACAAATCACATAGTAACCATTGTTAGAGGAATCAGTGGTCTGGATGGATTTTAAAATTTGCTGTGGCTCAGTTTTGCCATTGTCATTACTGTTTCCATTAATGGAAGAAAAATTAAATGGAATACTCTCTTCAACTTAAATTTGATAGTTGTGTATTTATGGAGAAGGTGTTCATAATATTATAATCCAATCTCTCTTTTTTACTTTAGTAAGCAGAGATGGATATTTCCTACCAAAAGCAATATTACTGGGCATTTATGAGCAATGTTTCTTTTGTGCTTCTTGTACTTATCAGACAACATTAAAGAAAGGTCTGTTCTTTTTATATCTCCCTCTTACTCCTTTTAGCTGCTGCTGCTCCAAATGCATTTGGCTGTTAACACAGCCACAAATGTTAAGTAAAATATTTCTAATGCAAAGGAACAAATGCCAAGTTTATACACAGAATGTAACAACATTATCATTAGTTCAAAATCCATTAGTGGGCTGAATCATCTCAAAATATTTCAAACTGCACTGAACAGTTATCTGCTCTGTTAAACAAAAGAGGCTTTTGTGCCAGCCCATAAACAGAGTGGTATCAAAACAGTTTCATAAGTGCTTTTAAAATAAAACCTGACACATACTTCATTGGCTAAACTTGGCCATACAATCTTTAGACAAGACCTTTGTAACAGTCAGAAGGGAGCAAAATTTAGATCTTCCATCTTACTGCCACTCTGTCACCTCCCCTTAAGTATCTATCAAACTGAAGTCACATTTTTTCAAAAGGAGGTTAAACAACATGAAACTTAGAGTAAATCAATCTTTACTTTTACAGGATCTTCCATTTTACATTTAGAAAAAGTGTTAATGTTTTGTGTGCATGTGATTTAACTGAAAATAGTAATTAACAGAGAAAAAAATGTCATTTCTTTTTGGGTTTGTTCTAGTCCCTCAGTATTTCCTTGGTTTAGACGGGGGTGAGGAAAGCTTTAAAAATACAGAACTTAATAATGGGAAGAAAGCATTTGCTTCTGAGAGCAGCAGTATTCACAATAGGGAATTACTAAAACTATGACAGGTATGTATACAGTATTGTGAAAACTACTGCATTATTTTATACAGCAGTTGGAACAAAATCCTGGATGTCTCACAATCAAGCTTCAGTCAGAGTACAGTAAAGACACAGCCCAAGTGGCACCAAAAATTACTTCCTAATGGTCATGGATACAGGCAAGATTTTCATGTTCATATTGCAGGATGTATCTGCAACTTTTGATACAAGAAACAATGAAGTACTGCTAAACTGTCTGCGTAACACAGCTGGGGTAAATCATAACATTACAATGATTCCAATGACTTCTCTCCAGTTGAACCCAAAGAATGATGATTGGTAAGAGGGCCTTTGGGGAAGAGGAGTAATCATGAAGAATCTCACTAGGATCCATACTGAATATCTACATGAGACCACTTAGATTGTGAGATGCTCTGGGCTCAGCTGCCAACAATATGCTGATGACATTCAAATGTCTATCTCATTTGTCACTGATCCAATGACTCCCATTACTAAAAATATTACAATGCCTATAAAAGATCAGATGGCAGATGGCTCAGACCAACCCAGACAAGACCAAGTGATACTGGCTGAAAGGGGGGGGAAGCACTTTGAAGAACTAGTTAGAACTCTGCACACCTCTACCTTTCTGTCAAAGACATACAGCCTCCTTTTGTCAGAATGGTTCAAAGTCTTGGGGTCTGTTTGAATCATCACTAAAGCTTAGCTCACTAGGTAGCACTTGTGGCTAAAAACATCTTTTTTCCAATCTCCAATGCACTAGGAAACTTTACCCCTACCTCCGGGATGAGAAGCTGGCCCCAGTGATCAATGCATTTGTCACCTCCCAGACAAGATTACTGTACTTCACAGTACACCCAAGACTGTACACATCAAGACTGTACTTCAGTCCTCCCCATTCATTTCCACTACCAGTTTAAGGGCTTTGTCCCAATCTCAAAACAGTGAGTTAAATCACAGCTACATGCATTTAAAGAATGCATTTCAATCTATGAACTGCTAAAACAAATGTCTTTCTTTGGGTCACCATATACCACAAAGCCCAAAACAAAGTACATGAGAGCCAAGGATGAAGTATTCTCAGTTCAAAAGATTCAGCTATGGAACACCGGAAGAGATAGCTTTAATCCAAAATCTGATCCTTTTTATGAAATACTACAAAAACTAGTAGATTACTTCAGGGAACTCAGCTGAAGAAGACTATCCAAACAATCTTCTCTGAGATTCTTCCTGTCCCACAAGTAAAGGAAGACAGAAGGCAGAAGATTCTGGAACGGAATGGCAAGCTAGGTAAGTACTAAGGTAAAGGTTTTGTGGAACACTGATCCAACTTCTATGGAGGGAAGAAATAAGCACTTAACACTAAATTGAGATGTTGAGAACAAAATTATCAAGAAACCAAAGAACATTAAAAGAATACATTCTTTAATAATCTATATACTAATGTTAGGAATTGGAATTGCTGATCTGTGAGCATAAATAATTGATATTGATATTGAGCATAAATAGTTGATATTACTGAAACCTGATGGGATAATTCACACAATTGGAATGTTAAAATCAGTGGTTATAAGATATTTAGGAAGGATTGAGTGGACATAAGGAGAGGGAGAATGGCACTCTACATCAAAAATGGCACAGAAGAAAATTATCTTAAATCCTTATGGATCAATGTCCTAAGAGATAAAGCACAAGCTGGAGTACTAACTGTTCTGCTACAGACTACCAAACCATACTAGGGAACACAGTGACCATCCTCTTTATGTACCTATCTGTAACGTAGAAAAAAATATGTTCATGGAGGTCTTCAATTCGAGTGACATATGATGCAGGTTTCATGCTGCCAGTACTAAAACATCCTTGGAATTTCTAAAGAGTATAGATGACCATTTCCTAACTCAAAAACTATTGCAGATAACATGGTTGTATTCTCTGTTCCACCTTGTCCTAACAGAGAAAGAGAAACTGATCACACAACTAAAAGTTAATGCTAGTAGGTACAAGGCGGACTCTCCATAACTGACAATGTTTAATCAAAATTGGATTTTTTTCCCCCTAAAATGCATGCTTTAGAAATTATTTTGGGTAAGTTCTATGGGCTGTGCTATACTACAGAGGAAATCAAACTAAATTATTACAATCGTCACAGGGTATCTTAATGGGACAGCAGGATGCACACCAATGACAGGGCACCCTGGTGGTATGACAGGGAGCGGCAGATGGGGGACGCGTGGGTGACCGAGTGCCCCGGTTCGGGGGGACCGAGCAGCCCGGTGGGATATGGGGGGCGGGAGGGCCGACGAGGCGCGGGTGACTGGGCGCCCCGACTCGCTGGAGGGGACGCGCGGGTGACTGGGCGCCCGGGCTCGATGGGGGCGAGGGGAGGGAACTCACGAGTTGCTCTCTAAGCGGCGGCGGGTCTCTGCTGAGCAGGCCCCGTCTCCATGGGAACCGTAGCTGCTGCTGGTGTTCCAAGAACACGCCTCCCCAGGGAACGTGGGCCCCAACCCCATCGGGACCGCCCGTGGGATCCGCTTCAAACCCCTTCCCTCGCGCCCTCATGGAGGCCCCCCGTTGGCCTCTGACCGGGTCTGGCATCATGCCAATGTCTTGAGACGCGCCTTGGGTGTTGTGCCAGCTGCTGTGATGTAAACAATGGCAGGAACCGCACCACTGTACTATCCACCCCCCAGTCCACATACCCCATATGCCTCTGCAGCCTTACTCTCCTACCCACTTTGAGTAACTATCATCAACCAAAGCTCCCACTAAAGCATAAGCCAACTCCTCCCCATTATCCCATGTCTCCATTTACCTGAGCTGTCCCCATTGAGGGAGCTGCACTCTATCACTACCCCACCCACTGTTTCATGTTCTCTCTCTCTGTGTGTGTGTATATACATATATATGTGTGTGTGTGTTAGTCTCTAAGGTGCCACAAGTACTCCTGTTCTTTTTACCACCCCACCAATGTACCATCCACCCTATTCAACCCTCTACCCCATAAACCCCTCCACCAAATCCCTATCCACCCTCACCCCATCAACCCACGTCCGGTCACGCTCAGCCCATTCCAATACTTTTATCAAACAACCCTCACCAATGCCCCATTCACCTATCAACCTCTCACCAGTGTATTATCTACCAATGTCCCCACTGACGACTCATCCATCTATATCCCCCCCCCCATTAACACCCATCATCTCACATTCACCATCAACCCATTCTCTAATCAAGTCCTCAAATCCCCCATCAACCCCCTAGCTACCCATTTCCCCCACCAACCTGTGCTCCCAAAAATTCCCCACCAAGGCCCTATCCACTCATATCCCTCATCAACCCCCAGAATCTATCAATCCTTTACCAATGTCCCATTCATCTGTCCCTTATTCACCTACATCATCTAAGCCCCTATGAACATGCTCTGCCATAGGAGATTCATACAATTTCCTTCATTTTCTTCAATCATGTGGTCATCATACCTCCCATTCGCTAGTCCTGGCTGTCCCGCCCATTATTATCCAATTTAAGCCCTTTACCTCCTACCAGCTCTCTCTCCACACACAATTAGCTAGTATCAGTCCCTTTCCCCAAAATTGCCTCTAACTCTACCTTCATTAGTGTTGCGAATTATACCTATAGGTCACGCGCAGTTCGAGTCTAGGCTGAGGCACATAAACAAATCCACGACTGCAGAGTATCCAAAGATAACAGGTTTATTATGCCTGAGTGCGGTGCCCCCCTGCTAATCAGGGAGGGACCCAAAATGGAGGTTACACAAAGATTATATACCTTTAAGCAAGGCATGCTGCCCTCGTGCATCGTAAGCCTTAGCCAATAAACAAGCCTTTTTCTTATCTACCACCTATCCCCGCTAGGCCCTTGCCCATGCTGCCTAGGGTTGCAACTACTTAGGCATGCGGTTAGCTTTTTTCCCTGTTGCCCTTATCTCTTTGTGTCCAGATGTCCCCCTTCCTCCCCCCTTGTCTCCTGGTACGCGATGTGCTTGCTTCTAGCTAAGGGCGGGCCCAAACCAAAATGGAATTACATAAGCAAATTTTCCTTAACATTAGGAAGTACTAAACATCACCATCACACCCCTTCCCATCTTCCCCAACAAACAGGTGTCAGCCCTGTTCTTTTAGCTCCTCCCCGATTATGCAGTATTATCCCCTTTACCTACATTTTCCACAAATTCTCCCTCCCCCTTGGCAGGTATCAGCCCCTTCACTCTATCACTGGTTTAAGGCAATGCACCAACTGCATGTTGTCTTTTTTTGTGACCTAACCAGGGTTCAAATTTGTGGGTGAGGGCCAATAGGCCAGGATTCTTCTCCTTCACCATTGAGAGGGCACAGACCACTCACAGCAGCACCCTTCATCCCATCCATAACCCTAATCCTAGCCTGGTCCAGAGGGGAAGCCCAGTGGGGCAGAGTTTTGGTTGGCATGTGAATCTGCTCCACATTCACCTCACAGTGGCAGCTCCTGTCCTGCAGGGCTGGGCCCGGCTCCCCATTCTGGGAATTGCGACCTGGCACAAGTGGTCACACTGCCACTCAGGTTTAGCACAGTCACCCCTCTATCATGACAGTCATGACCCACTGTTTGAGAAACCACACTATATTACATGAGCACACATGTCCCTCCCCTAATATTATTCCTTTTATACCCCCATCCCAACATCTAGTATCAGCCTCTTCCTCAATTCTATCGCTTTCTCCCCCTCACACACATACATTAGCTCAGTAGTTCTCAACCTGGGGTGCATGTACCCCTGGGGGTACACAGAGGTCTTACAGGGGTACTCAACTCATCTAGAGCAGTGTTACTCAACCTGGAGGTTGCAACCCCCAGGGGGGTCATGGGACAGGTTTGGGGGGGGGGGGGTCACAGGTGCAGGGCCAGCATTAGGGGTAGCAAGCAGTGCAATTGCCCAGGGCCTCGTGCAGCTAAGTTACATGCTTCATCTCCAGGGGGTGAGGGTTCTGGCTTCAGACAAGGCTCACAAGTGAAAAACAAGCTCAAGTATCATACTGAAATGCAAGTACAATATTTATATTCCAAGAACGTTGTTTTATAATTATTTGGTAAAAATGAGAAAGTAAACACTTTTTCAGTAATAGCATGCTATCACACTTGTATTTTTATGTCTGATTTTGTAAGCAAGTAGTTTTTAAGTGAGGTGAAACTTGGGGTATGCAAGACAAATCAGAATCCTGAAAGGGGTACAGTAGTCTGGAAAGGTTGAGAACCATTGCACTAGCTGATATTTAGCTTAAAGTGAAAGTTAAGGGGTGATTTGATTACAGTCTGCCAGTATCTATATGGGAACATATATGTAATAATGGGTTCTTCAGTCTAACAGAGAAAAGCCTAACATGATCCAATGGCTGAAAGTTGAAGCTAGACAAATTCAGACTGGAACTAAGATGTAAATTTTTAAATGGTGAGAGGAATCAACCCCTGGAGCAATTTACCAAGGGGCATGGTGGAGTCTGCATTACTGACAATGTATAGGTCAGTACTGGGTGTTATTCTAAAAAAATGCTCTGGGAATTATGTTAGATATGTTTATGGGCTATGTAATACAGGAGGTCAGATTAAATTATCATGATGGTCCCTTCTGGCCTTGGAATTTGTGAATCCATTATATAAGTCCCTTCCCTCAGTGCCTCTTCCCACATATTCCATCCCCACCCCTAGGTTATCTAGTATCAACTGATTTCTTCCCACCCCATCCTGCACACAAGCTGTATTTCTGAAGGATAGTGCCATGACTCCTTTTAGCTGCAGCTCTTAGGAGTAGTTATGTAATGAGCAGACTCCCAACACCTATTACACATTGCTTGGGAAGGTTCTGAAGAGTTCGTATCAAACTCATGTCTAGCAAATAGAGGTGATTGCATCATGCAGTAATAGGGATTTTTGTTAAGGAGACATTGCTAGGAACCCATAATTTAAAGTTATTTTTAATATATCCAGAAACCAAAATAAGATTTGAACTCCTTCTTCTCCTCCTTCCCGTACTCAATTAACTATCTATGTGAGATGGAGGAAGAAGCAGGATGTAAAGTATCATCCGCTTTAGTGACTCTCAATGACTCATCTGTCTGGCAAGCATGTAGTTAACTTACTGACATGTTTGTTCACTGATGATTTATCTCAAGTTTCCAGGTTCTGCCAGACTAAAGAGACCTCATGCCTCCTTTTTCCAACCAGAGCCTTATAGAAATTAGCATTATGGTAGAGGTGTATAGGATCAACAACAACAAAGAAGTTGTTGCATTGTCACTGATTCAGGCATATTTCTTATTTGGATAATAAAATAAATGCTTTTAAGAATAACAATATAATGTCCTCCCCAATACTAAGGGACTTATAGCCACCAAGAAGGTTTTTCCATTAATAATTGTTATAAAAACTAGACTCAATGATGAGTTATTTGCCCTTTGAGATGCCTGATGTTTAATTTGACTATATTTATATATATATAAATTGACACCTTTTCTGAACAGAAGAATAGGATTTGTCTCAAACTTAAAAAAAAATATCTCTGGTCTAAGAACAAGCTGGGAATCTTTTGGCCCCAAAAGAAAAATTTTCAGAACGTTCTGAGCATGTGAAAGTTGGGTTATAATGAGAGTACCAACACAACCTTTACTATATAGTAGTCCTACCTAACCATCCATCATTGTAACAAAATGCACATAGTACAGCTGGACACTAAGCACAGGTCCACACAACAATTTAGTGCATGGCAAGCTGAAGTGTAAGTCTACAGTGCTCGAGTTCGCCACACACTAGCTGTGGACTCTGTTACTGAGCTCTACAAATTCTATAGTGGGCTTTGGCCTACTGCTGTTTCAAAAAGCAAAAGGTCAAAACACACTAAAGAACTTTAAGTGCACAGTAACAGGGTCCACATGGCAACTTAGTACACAGCAGGCTAGTGACTGTAGATTTACACCCCAGCTTCCCATGTGCTAATTCTCTCTATGGACAAGCTCTAAGGCCCAGATCCTCAAAGGCAGCACCCAAATCTATATTTCACAATAACTACAGGTGTATGAAGTCATGCCTTATGACTTAGCTGGATGGTGGAGTTGAAGCCTGAAAAAAGGGTGTAGTGCCCTTTCCTGTGAATCCCTAGCTGTCCTCTTCCGGTGCAAGGTAGGCTTACCAGATACAGCTGGGAATCAGTTCTTTCTGGGAAGGCAGAGCCTCAAGGCTAAGTCTTTCCTTTGTGGCACTAGGTGCTCCTGGTCAATATCAAGCCTTGGCTATCCACTAGATTGCGTTACAGAAGAGGGCTACCAGGCTCAGTTGGCAGGCAGCCTCTCAGGTTGAGAAAGACAAAATGGAGTCCGGGATCCTCTGTCACGGAGAGCAACTCACAAGCTGCACCGTCTTCTTCTGCTGTAACCTGACCCACGGTAACTAGCTCCACCCAAGAGAGGTGATGGCTAGGGAGCTAGAAACCCAACCATGGGTCCCGTTGCTGGACCATAGGCCTGGTATACACTACAAAGTTAGGTCGACATATGCCGCGTTAGGTCAAGTTAATAAAGTATGTGTCTACACTACTGAGTCCCTTCCACCAACCTAAAGGTCTTGTAAAGTCAACCTCTGTCCTCCATCTCTGCGAGAGGTGTAGCGCTTCAATAAACATTCACACGTCGACATGGGGATAGTGTAGACACTGTGCTGTGTAATTCAAATGAATTAGCCTCTAGAAGGTGTCCCACAGTGCTCCACAGTGACCGCTCTGGAGAGCACTTTCAATTCCACTGCACTTCAGCCAGGTACACAGGAAACAGCCACCCCCCTGTTAAAGACCTGGGAACTTTTGAATTTTCATTTCCTGTTTGATCAGCATGGAGAGCTCATCAGCACAGCTGACCATGGATACTCAAGGCCACAAATGCACTCCAACATGGAGAGCACACAGGAGGTAGTGGATCTTATTGCTGTGTAGGTAGAAGAGTCTATGCAGGCAGAGCTCCGAACCAGCAGAAGAAACGTTAACATGTATGCCAAAATCGCGCAGGGCATGGGGGAGAAGGGCTACACCAGGGACACACAGCAGTGCCGCGTGAAAATAAAGGAGCATTGGCAAGTATATCAGAAGACAAGGCAGGCGAACAGTTTCTCTGGTTCTGAGCTACAGACATGCCACTTCTATTAGGAGCTGCATGCAGTTCTAGGTGGCCACCCCACCACTACCCCAAAACGCTCCATGGACACCTTCTTCCCTGGGGCGACCTCGGGCAACAACAAGGACGACATTGTTGACGAGGAAGAGGAGGACGAGAATGCGTGGCAGGCAAATGGAGGATCCATTCTCCCCGACAGCCAAGAATTATCATGATGGTCCCTTCTGGCCTTGGAATTTGTGAATCCATTATATAAGTCCCTTCCCTCAGTGCCTCTTCCCACATATTCCATCCCCACCCCTAGGTTATC